GGTCTGCCCCTCCCCCCCCACCGCCCCCGCCAGCCAGCCAGCCCGCCATGGGTTCACAGACCCGGGACTGGAGACGAGGGTGGTGCTGTTCTGCTTCTCTGACACGGTGTGGTGTCGTGGCGGCGAGGAGAGGTCCAGAGAACGAGCAGGGAGAGTGGGGGGCCCCGAGGGAGCAGGCCGGCGGGCCGAGGATAGAAGGAAGGAGGTGGGCAGGGTGGGGTCGCGAAGGGTTCTGTTGTCGTGGGATCTCTTCTTCACCGCTTCATCCGGCTACTAGGTGTTTACCTGTAGTTTGGAGCATGGGCCACCCACGTCCGTCCCATCGTACCTGTGGCCACCACAGGTGGCTGTGCCTCTTCTGCCTTTTTCTCCCACCTTCCATTTCTGCCCTGGGCGGCACGCCGTGGCACAGACCCCCTGGCTCTCCTTCACCCCTGTCCCTGCATGTTGCCGCGAGTGTCTGTGCACTCACGCGGTGGCTGGGCCATCGTTCCCCTGGGGCGGGGGCCCCGGTTCACTCCACCAGGCCCCACTTGCTGGGTGCCCTCTATACACACGCGTGGGGGCCGCTCCCCACGTTTTGGTTTTCTCAGTGGCACTGTGGCGGGACACCTCGGTCCGCAGAGCTAACCTTGTCTTGCTCTCGGGTTATCATCTTAGGATAGACCTCCCACACTGGGCAGGAGAAATGGGTCTCCTAAGTCGTGGCGGGGGGAGGGGGGTCTTTCTTCTTTAGACTCTGGATGACACTTCCTGCCCCCTTTCCTGGGCCGAGTGGAAGGAGGAATATCCCGGAGGGTGGAGACCGCCCTGTTTTTTTCTTTTGCCATTGAACCCCAGTGTGACTCGGGCACGAGGCTGCCTTTCTCTGCAGAAGGACAGAAAGGTTCAGTGACTGGCCTAGGGTCACACGGTCCTGCGTCCCAGCCCACCAGCCTTAGCTGAGTGTCAGGGTGGGACGGGGGACGCTCGGTCTCCCGTCAGAGCCCGGGGGCTTACGCTGTAGGAGAAACCCCGGCAGGACTTCCCAGCTGGCTGTGCCCCACCTTCCCTGCATGCGGCATGTTGGACTGGACCGTGGTTGTCCGCGCCCCTGCTCACACCAGGCCACGTCCCCGCCTCAGCTCCTGGTTGGGTTACGGGCAGGGTATGGGGTGGGAAGAGGTGGGCTCTCGGGGAGCTGGGGCAGGACGCGGGCTCTGGGGTTCAGCTCTCCTCCCACTACTCCCCCGCTGACCGGTGCCCCCTCCCTCCCCTGCTGCGCGGTCCTGTTGCGGTCACTGAAGCTCTGGAATGATGAGGTGGACAAGGTGAGTCTGGGCTCGGGAGGCTCGGGAGCAGAGGCTTGAAGCAGGTTGGGAGGGGGGAGGGGTCAGATTGGTTTCTAGTTCTGGGTTCTGTCCTGGGTCGGGGCCACTGTGAGGGTATCGCTTCCCCTCTGTGGGGAGACTGCCCCCACAGTCCCTCTGGGCACACGGGAGTGGCGCTGTCGGGTGGCGAGGTACCGGGTGTCAGAGGTCCTAGCCAAACACCCGTGGGTCTGTCTCTGGCCACTGGTCACAGCATAGGTCCAGAGGGGTCCCAGCAGGGTTATGGCTGCCCCAGGGGCCAGGGCTCCAGGCCTGAGAAGCGCACCCCTGCCTCCAAGCGGTCTGTGTCCCCAGGGGGAAGTGCCATCTGCATCCAGAGTAGAACAGGGCTGCTCCTGGTGGGCGTCAGGGCCGCGGGAAGGGGTGGCAGGAAGGACGGCGGGGCCCACTGCTGCTGTCCTACATTCTCACACTGTGCCCTTCCAAGGCCGAGCAGGAGCTCCGAGTGGCCCAGACCGAGTTTGACCGGCAGGCAGAAGTGACCCGGCTCCTGCTGGAGGGAATCAGCAGCACTCACGTGAGTCCTGCCCCATGTCGTCCTTCCATCGTCCCCTGTCTTCCTGCCCCTGCCCCCCCCACCCCAAGCGGTCCACGACGAGGCGGGCGATGAAGTTGGATCTCAGAAGCAGGTGGTGAGGGGCAGCGCTGGAGCCCATGGTCCTGAGGGTGGATCTTGAGCTCCGTTCCAGGTGCCACAGAGCAAGTGCCAAAGGCTGGATGGCCCTCCCCCCTGCTCCAGGGGGGCAGCAGGGAGCGGGGTGGGGGAGGGAACGTCTCACCTCCCGGGCCACCGCTCACCCCGCTCACCATGGGCACCGCTCTCCTCCCTGCAGGTGAACCACCTTCGCTGCCTCCATGAGTTCGTGGAGTCCCAGACGACTTACTACGCGCAGTGCTACCGCCACATGCTGGACTTACAGAAACAGCTGGGCAGGTGCCCACTGGGGTCCCCTGGCTCCCAGGCCTAAGCTCAGAAAGCCCTATGACACACAGGGCGGGTAGAGGGCTGAACCTTGTGTCGGGGGCATCACACCCCCCTGGACAACAGTGAGGTGGTGGGCCTTGACCTCTGAGCGCGGTCTCTCGAGAACGCCCGGGTGGGAGGATGGCAGGGACTGGGCGGCGCATCTCACGTTTCCCCTTGCCTTGCTTTTCCCCTCACGCTGCCAGCTCCCAGGGAGCCATGTAAGTAGCGGCAGCGGGCCCAGGCGGGGTTTGGTGGGACGCGTGGGACTCCCGTGGGGACGTGGCCCCCGGCTGAGATGTTGCACCTGTTCAGATTCCCAGGCACCTTCGTGGGCACCACGGAGCCCGCCTCCCCGCCCCTCAGCAGCAGCTCACCTACCACCGCCGCGGCCACTATGCCCGTGGGGCCCTCTGTGGCTGGCCTGGCCCCTCCAGGGGAGGCTGCTCTCCGCCTGGAGGAGGTGAGCCCACCTGCCAGCGGGACCCGGAAGGCCCGGGTGCTCTACGACTACGAGGCGGCTGACAGCAGCGAGTTGGCCCTGCTGGCTGATGAGGTAGGTCTGGTGCCACAGGGGTGGGGCAGAGGGCGGGCCCAGGAGCATCAGGGAACCAGAACGGGGAGCCCCCCCAACCACTGCCTCCAAGTCTCTGAGGGGCCCTGGGGGTGGAGCTGGGGGGTAAGTGGAGGCAGCTCCAGCTCTGAGGAAGCAGGCTCTAGGAAGAGCAGGTGAGTTCCTGTCTCTGCACGTGCAGATGTCCGTGTGTCACGGGACTGTGGCAACCCCGACCCCACGCCGGTTCTGCCCCTGCTCGGGTGTGACCTTCCCTCTGCCCTCTTCAGCTCATCACCGTCTACAGCCTGCCCGGCATGGACCCTGACTGGCTCATTGGCGAGAGAGGCAACAAGAAGGGCAAGGTCCCGGTCACCTACTTGGAACTGCTCAGCTAAGCAGGCCCCTCCAGGCCCCCCCCCCCGGTTCTGGCCTGGGCGGGAGAGGACGTGTGCAGCCCCACCACCTGTCTGTCGGTGACTCAGCTGCTCGGGGTGGGGAGACCAGCCCCATTCCGTCCACGTCCCCGGTCGTCCAGCTGTGACGGGGCCCCAGAGGCTGAATGGTCCCAGCCCCTCCCCCAGCCCTGCTTCTGGAGCCCCCGGCGCTGTCTGCATCCACTGAGCTCCCCAGCTCTGCGGTCCTCCCCGCTCCTGCTGAGGAGGGGCGGCTGGCTGCAGTGCCGCCCCAGGCACCGCGGCTCCCCGCGGGGGTCGGAGCGCTAGGCCTGCAGCAGCCTGGGGCACACCCTTGGCAAGAGAGCACCTGCCTTTTGGTTGCCAAAAGCAGCAGTGGGGGGAAGGTGGGCAGGTCTGCGGTGGGCCTGGGGACGGGCGCCGGCCCCTCTGGGTGGACTGGAGCGAGGGGCGCCTGGCCGGAGTGGCATCTCCTGGGTGCTCCCCACCCCTACCCCCTCAAGACCGCTCAAGCCAAGTTCGGTGGCTGCAGCCTGCACCTCTCTACACTCACTTTTTAACTGATCTTTTTACTCTGCCTGTCTGCTTGCTGTATAGCCAGTGACAAATAAATCATCCTTCACGTGCATGTTGCCTGGGCTCCTATCGGGCTGCGGACCCCACGGGCTGGCCTGGAGGGTGGGAAAGGGAAGCAAGCATTCACATGCCAGCTTCCTCCTCCTTCCTTCACGGGCCTCGCTTTCTCCCACAGGGCCTGTGCTGCTCGGGTGGGACTACTCTTCCTGCACTTGAGGCTGCATTAAGAGACATTTTATCCCTAAGGAGAACTTTCATAAATTTGGGCCGTGGAGTGGACTAAAATTTGCATGAGGGTTTCAGCTGGTAACTGCCGGCTGCCAGTGCTTCCTGTGGCCGGCCACTGAGCCTCGCCCGTTCACGTGTTCTCATGTTGTCCTCACAGAGGAGGGAAGAAGAGATCGGAAGGAGTCACCTCCTCAAGGTTCTGTAACTGGCAAGTAGCCATGCAGGGACTCTAGCCCAGATCAGTCTGATTCTAGAAACTTCAAGCGGTGGCTCTGGCCTGCAAGCCAGGTGTCAGATTAAGCACCGAGCCCAGCACTCTCGTGATTAGGTCCTGAGGAGGCCAGAGGCTGGCAGGCCCACAGCCCGGGCTTCTGAAGGCAGGGGCAGGGGAGGCAGGGGCACAGAGCTGTAAATAGGAAGGAGTGAACTTCAAGCGAGGCTACACCTGTGGGAAGCTCAGCCAGCGGGTAAACGGAGCGCGTGCGTCAGGGGTGAGGTGTGGGGACGAGAGCTGGGCGGGCCGGGGAAGGGAAAATTAAAGTGTCCGCCCGGCTCCTCTGCTTCCCCAAACCTCCACTCCGCTGCTCCCAGGCACCTGGCCAAGGAAGACTTGCTTGGTGCTGAGCGCCGGGTGCTCGTCTCCAGGCCTTGAAGGCACATCACACAGCTATCTATAAACAGTATTTTAATATTTGTATAAATAGACCACAGTATTACCAAAAACTGCAAGAACAGAGCATGGAAAACATTTTCAGAGCCGTGCACACAGCCTATCCTGGTTGCATTTGACACCGGCTCCTGGCCTCTACTGGGCCGGGGTCAAGTGCAGGGGCGGGGCGGGGGGG